TATTGTATATTTAGTCATAAAATTTATAACATAAAAGAACAAATCTACGCAAAAAAACAAAACAAAACAAAACAAAACACAAACACACTTCCACACATCAAAATGCTTTTAAAATGTTTGATTTCTGTTCTTAAACCTTTAAACCCCTTTTTAAATTGTATGTACATTTTCTTTTTAACTTGGCTTTTTACACTTGTTGTCTTATTGAATTATAATTTATATAGTATATAAACATTATATGCATATATTTGTAATATTATTTTAGCATAGAGTAGAACTGTTTTTAAATTGTACACACCGAGAAATAAAATAATTATCCATACATACAATTTATTACACAAGAACGTAAAATGAAGGAACAGAAATGAATGAGAGAGCGAGAACTAACTGTCTTCCACTGTTGCTGCAATATACTATTTAATATTGTGTTAATATTCAGTTGAATTACATTTAATTTAGTTGTTAATTAAAGTTAATTTGAAATCCGTGTGACTGCACCACCCACAAAATCCACTCGTTTTTTGGGCAAGTTTACTCTGTACTCTGTGGCCTGTCGATTGATTAATTAAATGTTGTACACATGAATGTGTGTGTGTGTGTGTCTCTTCTCTATAAGTTAAGTTCTTTAATTTTAAAACGTCAGTCACAGTTTACAATTTTGTGTATCCTTTTTGTGTTCTCTAATATTCTAATAACCCAAGAAGCAACAGTTGCAGCCACACAAAAACAGACAGACACGCTTGATATGCCAGCAAAATAAAATAGTAATGCAGGAAATAATAGTAAACAAAAACTATAATCATATACTACGTACTAGTAAGTGCAATCAGGGGTCGTAATAATGGGTTTATTTAAATCTGAAATAAAAGGAATAACAAATTTGTATGTAGAAAAAGTTTTATTTTCCGTTGCTGCAGATTCAAATGCCTTTGCCTTTGCTCAAAGTGTATCTCTCTCTTAAATAAATTTCTGCTTTAATTTGCTTTTCTACTTCGCTGTACAACTGTCAAAGTATGTGTCTCTGTCTCTACCATTTCTGGTTTCGATTAAGTTCAAGAAGTTCTCGGATTTTCATGAACATCTTTTTAATTCATCATTACGATCCCTGATTAAAAATCATTCGAAAACTCACACAATATCATACACCAACAACAGCAGCAGCAAGTGAATAAAATGTGAATGAAAATCACTCATTTAAGTTTATTCATAACTGCATGCTGCAACTCTAGAAGTATACCAACTTTAGATACCAACTCACTTAGGCTTTTCACATTTTTTTCTTTATTCATAATTTAACTATAGTTTTTTCTTTATGTTTAGTTCTTAGTTATCCATTAAATATTTGTATTAATTAGATAAAAAACAAAAACGAAATTTTATATGATAAAACAAACGAAAAACGAGAGCGTAACTTGTAGTGTGTTAATGTTTAAAAATACAAATAAAAAGAATACAAAACAAGAATAAAACAAAGTTTATAAGAAAAATCCAACAACCGAAGGTGTGAACTTAATTATATTTAGTAGAAGCACACAGAAGGCCTTTGTTCGATACCCTGGATCAAGTACTCTGTCTAGAACCCCCCAGAAAAATAAACTTGTGCCAATGACAAAGACAAAGCTAAGCAAATTAAACCGATAATATATTCATATAGAATATCACACGATCCCCCGTAGAGAGATAACCGAATTATGAAGGCAAAAACCAAAAAAAAAAAAGGTTTGTCAATTAAGTCAAATGTAGAACAGAGAACAAAACAAGAGAGAACCGAGAGAATTATTTTGACCTTTAGCAAACATTGCAAAGAACTTATACAAAGAAACCTCTAAAAGAACAACCACAAAATACATTTTTGGCAACAAACATTTCGGACTAAGAGACACACTTTTGGCAATTACAAATAAATGAGAACTTTTTGGCGGAAACAAACTCACTAACAGAACAAAAAACATAACAAAGGAAATGGCGTTTCGGATACAAAATTCTAAAATTCAGGTATATAAAACAAAAAAGGAAACAAAAACAAAAACAAATACAGATAGTGTTGTATAATGTTTAAAGACAATTTTTGGAACAAAGTATAAGTAAAGGTAAACAAATAAAAAGAATAACTATTTAGCTATATATACAACAACAAAAGCCTAGGAGGCGTGGCAAGGCGACGATGTGTGTATGTGTAAAATTTATAAGGTGCTTTTACAAAACAACAAAAATATTTGGTGGTGAAGCAAAGGTCGGCCTCCACGAGTCCTCCCCCACATTCCAACCCCCAAAAAAGTCTCTATATAATATATGATATATACATATATATTTTTGTCAGAAAGGCATCCAACTGTATTTTAAAAATGCTTTTAAAAGTGGAATGACTTAAGTAACGAATAGAGAAGATCTCCCTCCCAAGAGAGGGAGCTACAATACTCGTGTAATTCAGTTGTGAGAAATTCGCACAGTTTGACAATGGCTCGTGGTGGGGTTTTTTATAGTTTTTAATCGAGGAGGGCGTTTTAAATCGTAGCTAAACACCCCCCACCCTACCCAAAACCTAGAGCTAAAATATACATCTAACATACATATACAGCAGGATCAGCAGGACATTTGTAGTGGCAATCGAGGGTTGGTCGAACACCATGTTGTTTGCGGTTTGTTTAGTTAATTGTTAAAAGATAAACGTGCAAAAAAAGGGAACGAATATTCTTAAGCCAATGATTGATTGCATTGCACAATTCTAAGGTTACATTAAACAATAAAAAAACGGAAAGACCCATTGAGTTTGTAGTGAAATTTCAGCGCCTATCATTTGCAATTGACCTGAACGCTTTGTAAAATATTGTATTAACAAACAAATTATATATACATACAGAATATATATACATGCAAACTTATTTGTGAAGTTAACTCTTAAGCCAGTTATTGTGAAACGTATTTTGTAAGCGAGAAAACCACACACACACACACACAACAGCCACACAGACCACACAGGAGCCCTACGAGACGAATTACAAATATTACAATACCATTTACAAGTGCTGCATATACAGGATAGAATAAATACAAATACGGAATACTTAATTATGGATATCTACTGTACTCGGACTGAAGCTCTGAGTAACGTTGGGGCAGGGACATTCGACATTCGAGCGAGCGAGAGAGAGATTTTTGCATTGTAGCACAGGGTAGGCCCTTGGACTCTCAAGAGCTTTACAGTCCAACACCAAGAACCCAATAAACCCACTCCCACACTCAAACACACACAACATACATATATTTATACATACAATATATATATATATATATATATACGATGATAAATTTATTGAATAAAAAGAAAAATATGCATTCATAAAAAATTGTATTGGAGTATTTATTTGAAATGAGATTAGCTTTGGCACCACTAGCGAAGAGAACGCTACCAATTCAAGCATCCTCAACCACTTCCACTGGCACTTCAGGGAACAGGCTTCTCGCCGCAGATAGAACACTAATGTCAGCGCAGTTCTTAAAGGTCTCCTGAGCGCCACAGCCCATGGCTCCCTTGCCATTCTCACACACGCCCCAATTGTTGCCCGCCGTGTAGGTCCAGCGGAGGACACAGTGCACACAGTTTAGATCCGTGGGAAGTTGCAGAGTCACCGGAATATCTCCCGTTCTGGAGCTAATGTTGTACTTGAGATTTCCATCTGCAAACTTGAGGGGAATCTTGTTGAAGCACTCCTCCGACTCGGTGCCATACTCATCGAGGCTACACAGGTGAAACGTGAAGTAGCCCAAGTGGTTTGCCGTGATCTTTACTTTAATCTCAGCCTCGCTTTTGCCAGCAAAGGTCCTCACAATGACTCCACTGCCATACTTGCCACCCAGTTCATTGGGTCGCGGCTGCTCCATGCTCCAATCATCGCCGCAGAGTCCACAGCGGCCTGCATTTTCGGTTTGTTTCTGTAAGGAATATTTCATAATATTACAGAGAATTTATGCATTTGTTTGTATAGAAATATCCTACCCAAAGTCCACCGCAATACAATCCATTATCGTCGTAGTTTTTGGGCGCCGACGAATCGTAGCGCCAACGCGAAGATCTGCCCACGGGATCCAACATCATGCCATGGCCCTGCAGCTCATCCACCAGGCAGAAAATTCCCAGACTAAGGGTCAGGATTACATCAAAGTATTTCATTTTGCTTTCACTTTCACTATGGTCTGATATGGATCTGGCCTGGTGGGTGGCTTATATAGGATCATATCCCCAAAATCTAATCAGTTACCAGGCGGTTTCTGTTTGTTTTTGATTTGTCGTCAAAAACCCCGCTAAGTTTTCTTATCACACCCAAATATCTGCCCATATATGAATGCTTGTATATGCATTTTTATGATTATTACTCAAAAATTTGGGCGAATCGTAGTATCTGAGCTGGGAAATCGTTCAAAAAGCTATGACACATATAAACAAGAGTCCAGTTATTGGTAATTGAATCATTCTAATGTTGGTTTTGTTTATTATCAATTTGTTTTGAACACATTGTGGGTGCGATTCGAGAGAAAGGCCCAATGCCAATGTGATAAGGGTTCAATGCATGGGAAATATATCTCGTTCAAGTGGAACTTGTTAGCCAAGGTTGAAAATGTTTCAAGTGCATTATGCATAGGTAGATATGGTCTAGGGACTGGCATGGGTTATGCAATGCGGTGATTTAACTCGTGAGGAATTCCCATAAAGATAAGAAGGGTTTTGTCATCACTAGAAGTATAAATATAAAGAAACTCAAAGGAGTCTCCACTTCCGTGCATTATCTTGCTAGTAGACCACGAAAGACTACGACATCAGTTGGAGCAAGCAACTCTTCAACATTATTTGATTAATTCATATTTATAACGAACGCCATCAGAATATTATTATCGAGAGGCAGTTCCAGGTTCTAGTTTAAGGCATACTTCCAGGCCTTTTCTTTTTTGTAAATGTTCAGTTCTTTATTTAACTTTGTCAGACTTTTTGGTGTTGAACACCTTCAGACTTTTGTGGCAGTTCGTTGATTTGGTTGGGAATGAAGTGGTGCTTAAGCCACCTCAACGGGCACCTCAACGACATCGACATCAGAGGCAGCCTCCTTCATCATGTTACGTCCCCAGTTGATGCTCACATCAGCGCAGTTCTTGAAGGTCTCCTGGGGGCCACAGCCCAGAGCGCCATAGCCGGAACTATCGCAGATACCCCAGTTGTTGCCTGTAGATTGAGGTTCAAGGATTAGGGATTTATGGAACAAAAATAAACCCTTTGAGACTCACCGCCAACATAGGTCCAACGGAGCACACAGTGGTTGCAGGTAAGACCCTCTGGCAGGACAACAGTCACATCGAATTCTCCGCTCTTCTGGCCAATGTACAGCTGTTGGCTGCCATCGGCGAAGCGCAGGCGATTCTGGTTGAAGCAATCCTCGGACTCACTGCCATAGGCATCCAGGTTGCACAAATGGAACTCAAAGTGGCCCAAATGGTTGGTGGTGATCTTCATGCCGACGGTGATGGCATTGGCGGCGGGATAGCTCCTGGTCACGACACCATATCCAGCAATACGGCCTCCGATCTCGTTGGCACGGGGCTGTCCATCAGCGAAATTGTCACCGCACAGTCCGCAGCGACCACCATTGTTGACCTGGACCTACATGTACAAAAAGGGACTTTAGCATCAGATTCCTCCTCCTCCATCACGGGCATCCCCCTTTTAACTCACATTCATGCCACCGCAGAAGAGTTCATTGTCGTTATAGTTCTGGGGAGCGCCGCCATCGTAACGCCAGCGGGAGGAGCGACTGGGTGGGTTCAGCATCATGCCGTGGGCATCGATCTGCTGCAGGCCGATGGCCATCATCAAGGTAACACTGAGCAGGAACTTCATGGTATTCACTCTTGTGTCGGCTTTCACTTTCACAATGTGCCACCGGCTGCACGGGCTCCCAGTTTTATACGTGTATGCCGTGCCTTCTGCTCCTGTCCATCCGTCTGACTTTATCGATACGAGTCGAGAGTTTTACAATGCCTCTTAACATGATAACGCTCCGTTGATTATAATAACACCTAATGTGGTACTCCTGGTACAACAGTGGCAAAATCACCACTCCAGATCCAGATAGGCCCACAAAGGATAAGCACGGATAAGATCTCTACGATTGGCATGCCAAAATATTCATAAAAACTTCGAATGCCATGAGGTATCGCGGCCAAAGAGCACCCCAAGTGCGTTTATTAATAGTAATTGCTAAAAGTCTTAGTACTTTTAATCAAATTTTGGGTTATCTAAGTAATGTTTATTGAATTAACTTTTGCCCGAGTATTTCCTATTAAGAATTATAATGAATGTTTTGTTTTGGGTTCACTTACTATCGCGCTCAGATTTCATTTATAGGCCCCATAGCAAACAGGCTTAAATCGGTCGCGTGCACGAGAACTCGGGGCGTGCCAGATGGTATGAAAAAATGCACAGCTAAATAATAGCAAATAATCAATCGAACTCAAAATATTCCGGAATACTTCTTGCAATTACATAAATATGGAAGGCAATCAAAGGAAAAATGCTTATTGTCTTTGATGCCAATCTATATTTCCATGATGTGAAACAATCGAGGATTCTCCTCAGATCACAAGGACGCCATTTGTCCGATTTCCGATCCATTTCCGATTTGTGTTCGATTCATTACTGATCATGTCCGATTCGTGTCGAAAACATGTCCCATTATGTCATTAGGCCAAGCCATGGTGCTGAGCGTTAAATTCTCATCTGGCTGCCACAACCGAACCGAACAAACGTCAGTGGTTCAAATGCTAGTAATGATAAATAAATAACAGCATGTCCAGCAGCCTGCTTAGGATTTTCGGACTCAACAGCCGATAAGAGAAAACTGAAATAAGTTTGCCAAGTACCCAAAAGAGGAAATTTATTAAATTGTCTGCGAAAGACAAAAAAAACAACAAAAAATTTCTGAATTATGTCTGATTCATGTCCAAATATTTCCGATGAGTGCTCGATTAGTTTTCGATTCTTGTTTAAAACTTGTCTGATTCGTGGTCGCAACTTTTTCGATTCATTTTCGTTTCGTTTAAATGTCCGCTATATGGCGCCATACAGCGTTTTTGTTTGGAACTATCACCCCTCATTGTCGCAGTGGCGCCCACAAGTTGTGGCGGGTATTCCTTGTACTAACAAAAGTTAGAGATGCGTCTTAAGTATCGATAGCCGCTGCCAGCGATATTTTCTCCAATTCAAATTCCTACCTGTGCCTGTTCCCGCTGCTTGGCAACGGAAAACCCAGCAGGTGAGGCGTGTGCACTCAGGCAAAACGAAACGGCAACGAAATAAACATCAAGAACAAACAGCAGTCGAGCCCCCAAAGTGAGAACAGATTCAGTCGAACTCGCAGTTAAAAAACAAAGAAACACAAACGCGAAATACCAACAATCGCGGTGGCGCCAAGATTTAAATTCTATTTTGAGAGTTGTGCAAATTTGTATTCTTAAATTATTTAGTTAGAGAGTTGGAGAGTTTTATCCACAAAATACGATGGTGAATCGCAGCAAGACGCCGCGGTCGCTGGGCGAAGGCGATACTGGCACCAGCAAGGAGAAGGACATCGATCAGGTCTACTGCGTGGTGCTGCACGTCGTGGAGGCCATCAACTTTATTGGACGCGATGGCGAACGGGAAACTATCGTGATGAATGCCGCACTCAATACGGTGGACTTTGAGGTGGAGGGCACACCCTCGGCGACGGCAGAGACCATCATCTTCAACAGCAACTGCATCTGGGAGTGCGACATGGCGGGCATCAAGCGCATCAAGACGGACCATCGACCCGTCAAGCTCACCTTCTTCGCGTGCAGCAAACAGTTGCAGCGCAAACCCATTGGCAATGTGCTGCTGCCGGTGCGAGGACTCCCTGTGCTGACCACGACGAGCAACAACAACCCCGTGCAGCTGAAAATGATTTGGCACAAGTTGATCTGCACCAGCACCGAGTACCGATCCCACAAGCCCGAAGTGCTGCTCATGCTGGCCATCATCAAGAAGTCCATTCTGCACGCCAAGGACTTTGAGCCACTGCTGCAGGTTTCACACGTAAGCCAGTCGATCCTTTGGTGCCATGTTGTTGGGTTTTATCGTGTTTATTTTACTTATTTTAGATCAAACAGCCACCTCCCGCACCGATAATCAAGTCGCCGGGTCACTCGATCACTGCCAGCATGCTGCAGTCCCAGGCCAATGTCTATGTGCAATCACTGGTCCAACTGGGTCTGCTGCAGGTGGGCAATGATCCGCTGATCGACTGCGACATCATCGAGGTGAAGCTGCAGTTCAAGAAGCTCAAGAACCTGTCCAAGCTGCTCAAGTCGCTCAGCCAGGGCAAGGAGCCAGCCAACTCCATCAACCTGGTCTTTGATTTCGTGGGCAATGTGACCAGCATTGAGCTGAAGACCAACGACTCCGATGCCTACATGCTGAGCGATGAGCTGGGCCTCCGTTTCAAGTCCTCCCTGCAGAGCATGCGTCTGTACTTCCAGCGTATCTTCTATTTACCCATAAATATGTACGTGCATGGAGCGGCCATAGGTGAGTCCTCGCACACTTATCCTTTGAATTGCAACTTGTAACCATTATGCCACAGCCAATTACCGCATGGACTTTGGTAAGCTGCTGCCAGCGGATAGCTACTTCCTGGAGAATCGCAAATTTGAGCGCCACGGCTGCCTTACCTTCAATCGCTTTGGGCGCACGGACAGCTCCAGGGACATTAAGCCGCAGCTCGAGTACTCCTTCAGTGTCGAACTCAAGGCCATTTACTCAAGGCCGGAGCAGTCGGTACCATATGACCCTGAAGCGCCTTTTGTGTTGACAAAAGAGCAGCAACAGCAGCCCAGTGAGTTCGAGCAACCAAAGCCTGATAATAAAAGCTTCAAGGAGCTTGTCCCAGAGAATGAAGGTTTGCCCTTGACAGAAGTGCAGAACTCCGGCGATCCTGTGTGCATGGGCAGGGACTTTCCAAGGCGCAAAAAGTTAAGCAGCCAAATCCAAAATGAATTCGGCCAGGACACAGAGGAGGGTTTGGTGCGCAGATTCTCCTCCACAGTAGCACGAAAATCCATTGAAACGAAGAAGATTAGCAATTCCCTCTTCCAATATTCCTCCGAATCCAATGCGGAATGTCTAGCCATATACGAAAATCAACAGTTCGATAATGACAAATCAAGCAATGAACAAGAAAGCAGCCAAGGGACACAGGAGCAGTCCATGGCAGATGGAAAGGAAAATGTAAAAGCTTTAAATAATGTAGAAAGAAATGAATCCAACAGCATGGAGAAACCACAAGTTCCATCCAAGAGAGCCAAAATGAACTCCAAGTCATCCTCCAAGTCAAATCCAGAAGAAATGGTAGCCGTAGAGCCAACTCCCTCCATGGAGCAGTTGACCAAGCTGTTGGGACAGGAGGTGGAAAAGCTGACAAAGAGCGTTGAGATCATCGAGAACAGAAGCCAGCAAGACTTGAGAAAGGCCAGAAAAATGGAAATCGAGGAGGATCCCTTTGAAAGCGACTCAACGCTGTGCGCCTTTCGCCCACAAAGACATCAGAGAAAGTCCTCGAAAATGGAACTTCCAGCATCCCAAGACAGTTCTGCGACATCCATAAGCCATAAACACAGCAAAGAAAGAAAAGAAAGAAGACGTTGCTCAGGACAAGAACGATATGTGCAGGAAATTGTTGATGAAACGGAAACTAGCATGGAGCATGGATCTTTGCCAGCTGATTTTCCAGTCTCCAGCACATACAGAGTTAAAGTGAAGCACAGCGACTTGGACGTCTCGGAGTGTGACGTGTTCAAAGTGCATCGTGGCAAACGCAAGTCAAAGTCCGATGAGCAGCTATCCAAGCTAAAAGAGTCCAACTCGCAGAAGGTCTTCGCAAAGCCAAAGTCTGCCAAAGCAAGGGACAAAATATCCACGACGGAGCTCAGCCTGCGCGCACGTTGGGTCGAGGTGAACAAGGAACAGGCGCAGGCCCTCGATGAAACGGAAAAGTTCATCCAACAGACATGTCGGGACGAGTTCCGCAAGGTTCAGCAAGAGGACAAACAGGAATTGTTAGTCGAATCCAAAAGGAATATCCGAAAAGTTCGTTCCAGAAAGCTGCGAATTCAAAGGGAGGTTTATTCCGATTCCAATTCCAATTCAAATTCCGACTCCAACAGTTTGCATGCTGAGAATGCAAAGGAAAAGTATGTCGAATCGGCAGAGAACTCAGTGTCGGAGAGCTCTGTGCACGGCATCAGCTCCCAATCGAGTGATCAGCGCATCGACCGGATTATCAAGAAGATGAAAGTATCCAAGACAACAATCCAGGAGGAAAAGTATGAGCCAGATAAGCTGCTGAAGAAGAAATCGTCTAGAAAAATACCAATCGAAACATCTGTGGAGTCATCAGAGCAAATGGAAGAATCAGTTCAGTCGCAGCCCAAGAAAAAGGTTCAACAAACGCGATCAAAGCCCGTGATTCAGCAGCAATCAGAAGATGATCTGAAATCAATGGGGACATTGGTTGATCTGAAATCTTCGAATAATGCTCTCCGGCAGTCCAGTTCCCGCAAGTCACTCGAACGGACATCTTACATGAGCGCTTTGAATCAATTTTGTAGCCCAAATAATGTGAGCGAGAAGGTAAATGCCTGGCGCCAGCATCAGATTCAGCTCTTTGAGGAGGAACTGGCGTGCAAGGAGCAGCAGTACAGGAAGGATCTGGAGCAAATGGAAGACCAAGGTGGGACTTTGGTTCGCGGCCAGGGGGTGTCGCATAAGGGGACAATCATTGATTATGAGGCAAAGTTCAAAGAGTTGGAGCAGCACATCAACCAGCTGCAGAAGGAGATTGACGAGCAGGTGCGGCTC